CCTGGAACAACCATAAACACAAGGGCACCAACACCTGGAACAACAGAAGGCTTATTTTGGCCCTCAGCTCAGCTTGCTCAATAGTTAACATTTGATTGTTTAATCGTTTGTCAAAGTAAACAATGAAGGACGGTAACGAAATGCTCTCATATAAACTTTTAGTTTTGAAATGAACCGATACAACTTCTAAGGTCATAGGAGTGTATTGATGAACAGAAATATGGAAAGTACATCCCTAGTTGAAAATCCAATGCAGGGAGGCAGTATCACAATTTCCGCATATTCTTATGTTTAATATTAAACTGATGAATATTGTATGTTTATTATTGACAGAACAGTTTGTTCTCTCAATATTAAAGTATTTCAAAGCAATCCAGGCATTAACTCAGGTTTTTTTTATCAATGAGTCAAATGTGTCCATTTATCTGTACTTCAGGAAACCGGCTACCTATTTCTCTACTGTGAAGTTTTTCAAGAAAGATAACTCTTCCATGCAATTACTATGATTATTTAGGGTTCATTTTTAATCATTTATGTATCATTTATTTTACACAATTTCAGCATTTATTAAATTGATATACATTAATGCAAAATTTTCAAAATTCACTCCTTTTTAAATAGCTTTCCATTTAAAATCCTTAAAATTCTGACAACCTATTTTTTTTTTTTTTTTTTTTTTCTGGCTGAAAATTTTCTTAACTTAAAAGCAAAATAACTGCAATTTTGAAAAATATCTACTGAGAAATGGTGACACAATCCTATTACCTTAAGTGTTATTGTAATCCAATGTGAAAGTGGAAATATAAATGTGATGGAAGTCATCATTCCTACCAGCTTTGTTTGATTTGACGTCATCATGAACCAGAAGAAGACATTTCCATGGCACCAGACGGACCATAACTAGTTGGCATTGTGCAAGGTCGACCAGAGTACGATGGAATGGTACCAGTCGGACCAGAATACGTTTGCATAGTGCCAGTCGGACCAGAACAAATTGACATGGTCTAATCGGACCGGAACTTACATGCATGATGCTAGTCGGAATAGAACACGTTGGCATGGTACCTGTTGGACCAGAACACGTTGGCAAGGTACAAGTCGGACAAAAACACGTTTACATAGTGCCAGTTGGACAAGAACACGATGACATGGTATCAGTCGGACCAGAACACGATTGCATGGTTCCAGTCGGACCAAAACACGTTGGCATGGTACCTGTTGGACCAGAACACGATAGCATGGTACCAGTCGGACAAAAACACGTTTACATAGTGCCAGTTGGACCAGAACACACGTTTGCATGGTGCAAAGCGGACCAGAACATGATTGCATGGTACCAGTTGGACCAGAACATGATTGCATGTTACTAGTCGGACCAGAGCATGGTGCCAGTGGGACCAGAATACGATGGCATGGTACCAGTCGGACCAGAACACCATTCCATGGTGCCCATCTGACCAATACACGATTGCATGGTACCAGTCAGACCAGAGCACGTTGACATGTTGCAAGTCGGACCAGAACAGGTTTGCATGGTGCCAGACGGACCAGAACACGTTGACATGGGGCCAAACGGACCGGAACACGTTGCCATAGTGTAAGTCAGACTAGAACACCTTTGTATGGTGCAATTCAGACGAGAGCACGTTACCATGGTTGCAAGCAGACAAGAACACGTTACCATGGTGCTAGTCGGACTAGGACACGTTCACATGGTGCTAGTCGGACTAGAACACCTTTGTATGCTGTAATTCAGACCAGAGCACGTTGGCATGGTGCCAGGCAGACTAGAACACCTTTGTATGGAGCCATGCAGACTAGAACACGTTGGCATGGTGCTAGTCGGACTAGAACACGTTGGCATGGTGCTAGTCGGACTAGGACATGTTCACATGGTACTAGTCGGACTAGAACACGTTGGCATGGTGCTAGTCGGACTAGAACGCCTTTGTATGCTGTAATTCAGACCAGAGCACGTTGGCATGGTGCCAGGCGGACTAGAACACCTTTGTATGGAGCCATGCAGACTAGAACACGTTGGCATGGTACTAGTCGGACTAGAACACGTTGGCATGGTGCTAGTCGGACTAGAACACGTTGGCATGGGGCTAGTCGGACTAGAACACGTTGGTATAATGCTAGTGGGACTAGGACATGTTCACATGGTGCTAGTCGGACTAGGACACGTTGGCATGGTGCTAGTCGGACTAGAACACGTTGGCATAATGCTAGTCGGACTAGGACACGTTGGTATAATGCTAGTCGGACTAGAACACGTTGGCATGGTGCTAGTCGGACTACAACACGTTGGTATAATGCTAGTCGGACTAGAACACGTCGGTATAATGCTAGTCGGACTAGGACATGTTCACATGGTGCTAGTCGAGCCAGCGGTTGTGCAAACCTATTTTTATACTAGTTGTAAAACTTGAATGATAGTGACGTGTGGCTATACCTTTGCATAATCTATAGACAAGTACAAGTCAAGGACGTGACTGATAACGAATGGACGGATCCTGATCTGGCTAAATTAAGGTAAGACATTTTTACTACAATTTATGTTGTTGAACAATGCATGAAAGTATATAATATATAAAAGATATAATCTTATTTTCTGTATTTTATTTCAAGGTACAGCTGTACAGCTTTTGTCAGCATATTATGACGGACGACACACGAGATGCTCGGATTCCCGTTGACAGGAGTTGGGCCTGGATGGTGCTAGCCGGTAATATATATTTAAATCTACAAGTTTTACTGTTTTAAACAATAGAGATTCATATTGGATAAATTACGTTACATTAGTTCCACAACCATACCACGGTTCTCGTGTTCTAACTAAGGCAGTGTTTCCAAACCATCTTCCTTGCACTCCGACGAGTTCATGAAACACTTAACATGGGAATGACACTCGGATATATGAGTGACACTCACTCGGATATATGGTACGTCTTTAGTATCTTCAAAACATTAACTATTGCGGTCATATATATATTTGCGAATAAGACTTAATATGAGCTTGAACTCAAATTCCCATTTTAGGCATGATGGTGGTTTTATGCATAATGATCAGAACCAATGGTTCAATAACTGCTTAAAACATCCATAATGTACCTCCTTCTCTGGCTAATTTGCAAAATACGGACACTGATTCAGCTGCTTATGTCTATTCCCGTATGATCAATTACCGTTGTGGGACCGCACAACGCACCAAAAATAGCGTGCGCACACCGTGCATACATCATTCACACACCGTCCGCACATCGTCCACACATGGTGCGCACAACTATGCGATTTAGCAATCGTTCGCCCCGTTGCGCGCTTCTCTCCGCACAACTGTGCGATTTGGTATCATTTGTAGATCAAAATTACGGAATGACAAAAACACGGAAGGCTTGTATGCGATAATGTACACTGTGTATATATATCTGTAATTCCTCATCACAATTATCAAGATTATGCAATTTCACAATGCGTGTTAAACAGTATTATAGCGACCGTTAGACTGTCAAGAATGGGGTTGGCTCCAAGGTAACAGAACAGATAAATAACAATTTGATGAGTGTCCGGAGTTTTACCTGACCAGTGCCTGACACACAGAGCTGATATGCGATACCGTTTGACCGTAAGCAAAAGTATTTGTTATTTGCATTCGTTTGCCTATAGCTCCCCTTCACCTGGATT